TATATATATAAATATATATATATATAGAGAGAGAGAGAGCGAGAGAGAGAGCGAGAGAGAGAGATATGTATATATTAGGGCTGGGCAAGTTAACGCGTTATTGTCGCGTTAATGCATTAATTGATTAACGCCGACAATTATTTTATCATGTGTTAATGCAGTTTTTTATTATTATGAATGTCCATTGCTCACTGGCTCTGAATATACGTACAGACAAACCATGGGTCACAGGAGGGGTGGGATATTGATCAGTACTGGCTTGGGATGGGTGACATCACGCATCTCAAGATACCAATGAGAGCATTTGGGGTGGGCCAAGACAGCAGCAGCACAGCGCTCACGACTTCACAAGTGGGAAATAGGAAGTTTCCAATAACACGTGAAGACAGCAGAGAAGCTCTCTCGCTCAGCACAATGGAGAGCATTCTTTTGTTAACTTTGTGGTTTATTATTTTGAGTCGTTTGGGATGGGGTAACACACGGCCCTCTCACAATATATTGCTTTATCACAGATCTATCACTATTGCCGCTCAGAAATGTTCACGCAATCATGCTGCATGTATCAGAAGTTCAGCGCTCCGACACTACATGTGTACCGCGCCCGAGCTCAACTGAACCGTGCTCTGGCCCACCTCTTCAGACCGAGCCAGGGATGGCTAAACCAACCGAACCCGAGCGCGGTACAGAGCGATCACACTAGTCCAACGAACTAGGCTTTGGGGATCAAACGCGCTCGGGCACGGTTAAGATTGCCTAGTGTGATACACCCTTATTCTCCTGCATACACGAGTGTCTAACGCACTCGCCCATCAAGTGTTGTCCCGCACCACACTCTGCTGAGTTGGGTCCCGCGATGCAGTTCTCTACTCGGAAGGTGCCTGTTATAATGTTATGATCGAGGCTCTGGACTCTGAGCATAACTTGTTTTTCTATAACAAACTATAAAATATTTTCTATAAAAACTTTAATGCCCTGGCAGTGGCAAATAACTTTGGTTTTATATTTTATTTGATTACATTAATGTTATAAGTTGAGATTTACAAAAAATATTTTAACTGCTACTATATAAAAGGAATACTGCTGTAAAAAAGCACCTTATTTGTTTAAAGTGTTTGCAAACCAAATGTTATTGCACTTTTGTTCATATAGCAGTACTTTAAATGAAAAACGTGCACAATACATTACTTTTTAATTCATTATTGAATTTTGTGCATTACATTTTTTTTTATAGTTGCCCAACACTAGTATATATACAGTGGGTACGGAAAGTATTCAGACCCCCTTAATTTTTTCACTCTTTGTTATATTGCAGCCATTTGCTAAAATCATTTAAGTTAATTTTTTTTCCTCATTAATGTACACACAGCACCCCATATTGACAGAAAAACACAGAATTGTTGATATTTTTGCAGATTTATTAAAAAAGAAAAACTGAAATATCACATGGTCCTAAGTATTCAGACCCTTTGCTCAGTATTTAGTAGAAGCACCCTTTTGATCTAATACAGCCATGAGTCTTTTTGGGAAAGATGCAACAAGTTTTTCACACCTGGATTTGGGAATCCTCTGCCATTCCTCCTTGCAGATCCTCTCCAGTTCTGTCAGGTTGGATGGTAAACGTTGGTGGACAGCCATTTTTAGGTCTCTCCAGAGATGCTCAATTGGGTTTAAGTCAGGGCTCTGGCTGGGCCATTCAAGAACAGTCACAGAGTTGTTGTGAAGCCACTCCTTCGTTATTTTAGCTGTGTGCTTAGGGTCATTGTCTTGTTGGAAGATAAACCTTCGGCCCAGTCTGAGGTCCTGAACACTCTGGAGAAGGTTT